TTATTTCTTAGTTCTTCAAACTGTACAAAAATATTACATATCTTCTTTTGTATCTAGGATACACAGCATTCAAAATATATTTATTTTAAGGTAAAGAAAAGTAAATGATAATGCTAAATGTAGAAATAAAATTATTTGTCAGACAAGTAAGTAAGAGCTGGTTCTCTAAAAGAAAAATCTCAATAAATTTAAGGTAAAAAATATGCAGGCAAAATTGGAAATGAGAAAGAGGATATCATATAAAAATGTTAAAATTATAGAGGCATACCATGCATGATTGTAAATGAATACATTTTACAGCTCAAAAAAGATTATTTTAAAGCTAAAGGATATGATGTATAGTTGATATAACAAAAAGAAACATAAACAAATTAGTAAATAAGAAATGCAACAAGTTATTAGCAAACAAATCAAATTAAGGGATCAAGTAGTTTTTCTTTAGGTTTACTGGGTAAATTCTGTGTAATCAAAGCTTTTATAGAGAAGGGGAGAAAACAACAGTTTGAGGGTCAGATGGGTTTCATGCTGGCTTCACCCTAATCCTGACTTGCCATGTAATAGTAACATTAAATGAGTCCAAATTAACTAACCATGCTAAGATTCAGTTTTCTGTAAACTGGGGTTAATCATACTTGCCTCACAAGTTGTAATTATTAAATGGGGCAGCTAACAAAAATTCCCAGAAGTCACCCAGCACAGTACCCTGCCACAGGGACTCAAACAGCTTTCTCCTCCTTCTAATAGCTCATGGCCCAGAGAAGAGAAAAACTAAGAAGGAAATTGTTCTATCAGAGGACATTTTCTTGTTACAAATAAGTGTCTATTCTAAACCAAGAGTAACCAGTGCAACAAAGGAAAAGGTCTAGATCCAGTCACTCAAAAATCAGAGATAAAACCTATCATGATTGTTCTATATGATTTTTTAAGTCCTAGACAGTCATTAAGAAATGAAACGGATGATTCCAAAATGGCAGCGGAGTGAATGGAAGCTACATAGACCGTCTCCCAGGACCAAACTGTAATTACAACAAAAACACAGACAAATCAGCGGGAAAAAGCAACAGAAAAGCAGCTTGCGAGGACCATATAACCAGGGACACTGACTCATTCTTGGTAGGATTGCAAAGGCATGGGGGCTGGGAGCTCACGGTCAGCAACTCAGCAGTGGCCTTAGCGGTGAGCAGCATCCTCGGGTTAAACTCCCAAGCAGCTCCACAGTGCAGAGCCGGGACAGAGGCTAAAATAGCCACAGCCACTCACCTTGGACTCCAGCAGAGAGAAGGCAGACTGAACTGGAACTGTGTGGGGACACTCAGGATTTAGAGGGCACACAGAGCTTTTGCTCAGTTGCAGCCACGCAGGACAGTGGCCATATTGATCCTTCTCAGGACTCTGGGGAGAGGCAGCAGCCCTCCCTTGGAGATCCAACCCCACCCTGGGGGCCATTGAAATGCAAATAGAGGCTTATGAACAACCAGCATCTGACCCACCCTCCGGAAATCCCCTTACTCTGAGCACCTGAGGGAGTTTTTCAGTCAACTGACAACCCAAAACTCTCCAAGTAACCTGGACTGCTAACCCCCAGGCAAAAAGATAAAGGATAAAAATACCATTCCTGGGCTAGCAACTCCAACCAGGAAAGTAAGACTTGACAGTACTGTTTAACGTGGGTCCTCCCTTGCTTATCTAAACCCAGGAGAGGGAGCCACAAACAGGAGAACACCAATATGCACAGGAAAATCGATGGCATTCTTATACACCAATGATGAACTCACAGAGAGAAACTGAAAAAACAATACCATTTACCATCACAGCAAAAAAATTAAGATAACTAGGAATTAACTTAACCAAAGAAATAAAGGACCTATTCGCAGAAAACTATAGGACATTGAAAAAAAAATAGAGGAAGATATAAAAAAGTGGAAGCAAATTCCTTATTCATGGATTGGAAGAATTAACATCATTAAAATGTCCATACTACCCAAAGCAATCTATAGATTCAATGCAATCCCCATCAAAATACCAATGACGTATTTCACAGAACTAGAACAAATACTTCAAAACTTCATGTGGAACGAAAAAGACCCCGAATAGCCACAGCAATTTTGAAAAAGAAGGACAAAGTAGGTAGAATCACAATACCAGATATCAGGTTATACTACAAAGTGACTGTAAGCAAAACAGCCTGGTACTGGCACAAGAACAGGCAGATAGACCAGTGGAACAGAATAGAAAACCCAGAAATGGACCCAAGGCAATATGCTCAATTAATATTTGACAGATGGCAAGAGCATACAGTGGAGTAAGGACAACCTCCTTAATAAATGGTGTTGGAAAAATTGGACAGCTACATGCAAAAAAACGAACCTAGACCATCAGTTTACACCCTACACAAGAATAAACTAAAAATGGATAAAAGATGTAAATGTGACCCATGAATCCATAAAAATTCTAGAAAAAACTGTAGGCAACAAAATTTCGGACATCATACATAGCAGAAATATTCACTGATACATCACCTAAGGCAACAGAAACAAAGGAGAAAATGAACACATGGAACTACATCAAACTAAAAAGCTTCTGCACAGCAAAAGAAACAACCATCAAAATGGAAAGGCAACCCACTGTATGGGAGAATATCATTGCCAATGATACATCAGATAAGGAAATAATTTCCAAAATATATAGAGTACTCATGCAACTCAACAAAAGGAAGACAAAGAACCCAATTAAAAAATAGGCAGAGGAGCTGAATAGACACCTCTCCAAACAGGACATACAAATGGCCAAGAGACATATGAGGAAATGCTCAGCATCACTAATCATCACAGAGATGCTAATTAAAACAACAATGAGGTATCACCTCACACCTGTCACAATGGCCACCATCAACAAATCATCAAACAAGTGTTGGTGAGGGTGTGGAGGGTGTGCACTGCTGGTGGGAATGCAGACTGGTGCAGCCAGTATGGAAAACAATATGGTGTTACCTCAAAAAATTAAAAATTGAACTTCCATTTGACCCAGTGATCCCACTTCTAGGAATATACCCTGAAAAGCCTGAAACACCAATCAGAAAGAATATATGTACCCCCTTGTTCATAGCAGCACTATTTACAATAGCTAAGATCTGGAAACAGCCCAAGTGTCCATCAATAGACAAATCGATAAAAAAGCTGTGGTACATATACACAATGGAGTAGTATGCAGCTATAAGAAAGAAAGATCTCTTATCCTTTGAGACGACGTGGAGGAACCTGGAAAGTATTATCCTAAGTGAAACAAGCCAAGCAGAAAAAGATAAATACCACATGATCTCACTTATATATGGAATATAATGAATATAACAGTCTGAGGAATAGGGTAGACCCAGAAACATGGAAATAGGGTACAGACTGACAACCCTCAGAAGAGGGAGTGGTGGGGGGTGGGAAGAGAGAAACCACAGAACTTATATGCATGTATGCATAACCAACGGACATGGACAACAAAGCCGGGAACGGGGCGGTGGGGATGGGGAGGAGAGTGTCAATGGGGTAAAAAAGAAGAAACATCTGTAACAAAAATAAAATTAAAATAAATAAATAATTTTTTTTAATAAATAAATAAATAAAAAGAAATGAAACAGTTGCCCTGGCCAGTCTTGCTCAGTGGTTAGTGCGTCGGCCCATGGACCAAAGGGTCACAGGTTTCATTACCATTTCGGGCCTGTACCTCAGTTGCAGTTTGATCCTCAGCTCTGGTTGGGGTCATGAATGAGGCAACCAATTAATGTGTCTCTCTCACATGATGTTTCTCTCTCTCTCCCTGCCTCTCTCTATCCCTCCTTCCCTTCCAGTCTCCCTAAAAATCAATGAAAAAGTATGCTCGGGTGAGGGTTAACCGAAAAAAAAAAAAAGAGAGAGAGAGAGAAATTAAACAGAAATAAGAAAAAAACAAAATGAATCCAATGAATATTTTAAGAATAAGGGAGAGTGATGAGAAGGGAATAAATATTTGGAAATGACTACCATTTCTTTATAGCAGCAATAAAAAAAAAAGAGGAGGTTGTACTATTCAAAAATAAAAATAAAACCTTATTGAAAAATGGGAGGAAACAGCTATAAATCTTATTGGGAAACATAAAATAAGACATCTATGTCTCACTGGCTAACCACTAATTATCCTTCAAGAGTTGGCTCAAAATTTGGAGCATCCAGGCAATGCAGAAATAAGAAGTGCTGGAACCGAGGGCTGTGAAAGGCACCTGGGAAGGAATGAACCACAACCGCCTGGTTTTTCAAGTCACTACCCACACATGATTATAAAGTCCCTTGTAGGCATCAACGTCCTTCATGTTCCCCACAAGTACAATAATGAACTAGTGTTAATGACAAATAAATGGAAGAATGCATTCATGATGTTAGAGTGGTAAGACAGTGAATGAATTTGTTTAATTCCCCCCCCCCATGTTTTTATAACACAGCTTGTGTAAAACAGAATGAAATATTAAAACAGTCCAGTGTGATGCTGCAGAAATTGGAGAGTAATTGTATGCTGGCTGAATGCACGTACTGTACATGTATGTGAACAAATTAGGAGGTGGTTGAAGAAATGTGCAATGTTTAGCTAGAAGAAGGGTGGCCTCAGGATGCACATGAATATTGGCCCATTACCATGAAGAAGCCACCCTGCTGTGTGCGACCCAGTGTGGCTCCTTCTCACTGAAGAAGTAGGAGCAGAGACTGCACTGTCAAATGTTGAACAGGACAATGGGACCTAGTGGGGGAGCTGCCCAGATTATATGTGAGGTCTTTTCCAAACCAGAGACAATTAATCTCAGAGAGGAGGGTCTAGAGAGCCACAAACTGCCAAAAGATGGAAGTGACACATGCATGCAGGGACAAATGTGGCAATAAGGCATTGAGATGAACAAAAGGGAGAAGATGCTCATTTCTCAGCCCACAGGCCTGGCACATTTGCTGAATTTCTCTCTATGCCTCCCACATGCAGGGTCTTACCCAGACAGAAGCCTCGCGAGGCGTCTTCTGGTGTCCATTCTTCCCCTTTTCCCAGCTGGCCAAACAGATCTGGTTTGGGTCCTAAGAGCCCTGTTTTTAAGGGGGGAAAAAATGGACCACATCTGTTCATGCTACAAAAAAAATAATTAGAAGGAAGATATCTGGTCCTCAGAACTTCCTGGAAAAGGTAACTTGATGGAAAGACCCAGGATAGAGATGAGTTCCCAGAGGATGAAAAGATGGCTCAGGCCTGATACACAACCTGTTTCCATGTCCTTCTCTCTGCCAAAGGGAGGAAGAATTGGACCCTCTGCTCACTCTAGGCTCCAAAAGAGTCCTGTGCCTGGGACACCGAGGATAGGCAGATCATAGACTTAAAAATAACATCTTCAGTCAGCCTGTGCCAAGCACAATCTGCTATGTGCTACCAGTTTAAGATCCCAGAGAGATGTCCACATGTAAAGATAAGCCTTTGGAGGCTCCCCACTTACCCAGTGAGACTAGGTGGCTGTAGTTCTCCAGCATCACATCCCTGTACAAGGCCCTCTGAGCAGGGCTCAGCTGTGCCCACTCATCCTGGGTGAAGAGCACGGCCACATCCTTGAAGGTCACTGATTCCTGTAACAGCAAGCCCATCCCTGTTGACTGGTGGCTACCCCTTCACATGGCATATTTTACATGCCTATTATAGGTCTACTGCATGGTAACCAAATTATGGCAGGCTTGTAAACACAATATAATTGTATGACACCCAACAATGAATTTGAGAAAAAGGGAAGAGAAATACCACAGTGGACTGGCACCATGGATACCAGTTGCACAGAAGAAGTGGTGCCTGAGATGGGTCCTAAAGGACAAGTCAGAAACTGGGAGCAGAAGGGTGAGTAGCTGATGAGCTGTGACTGGGTTGAACACAGCACCTTCAACCAGCTGTTCATCCCTTTCAATGATTTCTACCATAGATTCCTGCCTTGGATAGGCTTAAATGTGAAGGAGTTAGAATAATTTTACCAAACTCATTGGAATTTATATACTCAAATGAATGCTGTCTCCTTCAGAGTGCATTCCATACCCTTATTCTATAGGGACACTTCTACACACCTGGTTCTGCTCAAAGCCTTTTATTAAACTCCTGAAATTGAAAACATAACCTTCTCTAAAACTAAAAAAAAAAAAAAAAAATTGTAATTACAGTAGACATACAATATTATATAGTAATAAGACACTTATATAACTTATGAAGTGATCCCGCAGATAAGTCCAGTACCCACCTGGCACCATACATAGGTATTACAATATTATTGACTATATTCCCTGTGCTGTATACTTTACATCCCTGTGACTATTCTGTAACTGCCAATTTGTACTTCTTAATCCCTTCACCTTTTTCACCCAGTTCTCCAAACCCCTCCCATCTAGCAATTATCAGTTTGTTCTTTGTTTCTGTAAGTCTGTTTCTGTTTTGTTTGTTTGTTTTGTTCTTTAGATTTCACATATAAGTAAAATCATATGGTATTTGTCTTTCTCTGACTGACTTATTTCACTAAGCATATTACCCTATAGATCCATCCAAGTTGTCACAAATGGTAAGATTTCATTATTTTTCATAGCTAATATTCCATTCATATATGTACCATGTTTTTTTAATGAGTTCACTGGTAGGCAATATTCCTCTGAAGTAAAAAGCCATATGTCATATTATGAAAAAAGATTCCAGTAAATCCCACTTCCCCAAGAAAGTGTTCCTATCTCTCCTCTCAACTCCTGTCTTAGGCACTGCTTTAACCATTTTAGACTCCTAATCTTACTTGCTAGTGGAAGAATGCAGGTTTCTATTTTGGACCAGTCTGGGTTCCAGTTCCAGTTGTCACTTATGCGACCTTTAACAAGACCCTTAGCTTGGATGACACCCACTAGGATAAGTCTGACAAGATGAAGGAGGAAGAAAGTAATGACTGAGTCAGGTCTCTGACTGAGATTAGATGGGGAGAAAAACTCTGGTCAGAGAAAAGAAACATGCCCACACTCCCCAAACCTCTACATTCAAATATAAGGCAACTCAATGTGTGGAAGAGCACTCCACAGCAACCCCCACCACTCACCTGGACCATGCTTGGCAGGTGCCTGACAGCCATTTCCTCTTCTCTAATGAACCCTTTCAGGAACAAGCAGAGTAGGGCTCCTTAGGCAAACACTTCTACACACCTGTTATGAAGAGAGGACTGGATCAGAAGAAAGCACACAGCAGTCCACAGTGAGGCTATGAGCATTCACATCCTGAGAGTCCTCCAATACCCCCAGCCCTGAATTCTTAGTCCCTATCTGCTCCTGATTCTCTCTCCTTCTGAGATCACTTCTGCTGGCCCATACAGTAAAGGGAATCACTCACCATTCTGCCACACACACACACACACACACACACACACACTCTTCCTCTAGCACCTGAGTCAAATCCTCTGCATCTTCCCATCCATATCTTAAATACATTGACTTCTCTTTGAAATAAGCACTCTAAAGCCCTAGCTCTCACGCTTTCTACCCACTCCCAGGCCTTTGCCCTTTAAGTTACTCTGAGAGGCCCTAAAGAAACATCTCCTCACTGGAGAGCTACCTAATTCTGGGAAGGGAGTGAAGGAAGTGAAGGAGGGTCGTCTTCTTTCTCCTCAAAAAGCTAAGAAGGCTGGTTCCCCTCTCCCCACCCTCCACACCCCCTTCATTGTCAAGCTTCTCTCTGACCTGAGGCCTGTCCTCCTCTGGGGCCCATTTGGGTGACCTGGAGTAAAAGGTGGGCGAGCAGTGTATTTGTGTAGGGGAGGCGGGAAAAGAGGGAGGGAGTTAGGAATATGCTTCACATAACCCTTCAGCCTTCTGCTCTGCTGCCCTCTCAGAGAGCTCCACATAGGGCGTTCACAACCCCATTGGGAGCATCATCTACCCCCTGGCGGAAACGGGCTTCTGGGGGTCTGCTCTAAGATGCACCTCAGAAGCCCTGCCCGCATCCTTCTCTAAGGGCACCCGCAGATTCTGCCCAAAACCCAAGAGCCCACACCTGCTCGTCCCTTTTCTCTTTGGAATCAAACCTTAGCCACACAACCCGGGAAGTGTGGGACATTAGAACCATCCTCCAGAATGGACCATGACCCGGACCTACTGGGCTTTTATCTCCGTTTTTCTGCCCGGGTGCGACCACCCACAGCTGCTCCCGCTCTGCAGATGAGGTTCTGGTCGCCAGCTGGTTGCCGAGGAGACCCTTCTGGAGGCGAGATCACAATCGCCTCATTCACAGCAGAACACAAAGAGCTGGAGTCTGCAGCCCCCGTCTGATTGCGCTTGCGCATTGCCCTGGAATCCGCAGAAAGGATCCCCACAAATTCGAAGGCTGAACCGTTCTGCTCTTCGCGCCACTTTCCGTTAGGCAAATCCACCGCTGGGAGCACCGTTGGCACCGACGCGAGGCGGAGGAAAACACTGCGTTCTGGAGTAAACAAGGACCTGCTCCCTCATCCTTTGCTGGGTCCAGAGGCTTTCTGCACTGAAACTACATTTCCCAGAGGCCTCAGCGGGGCGTCGCTGGTCCAGCATGCAGGTAACTCCCTGTGTGCTAAGTGGAAGTTTGGCTTTGGTCCCGCTCGGGTCAGACTGGGACTCCGTCTTCGCCTTGAAAAACACCCAAGATAGAGACTAGCAAGTTGACTGGAGGTCAGTCCGGTGGAGTAGCGCCTGATCCGTGAGGAAACGGATCAGAAATGGTCCCGGAGGATGCAGTAGGACGCTACAAGCCGAAAGGCACGTTTCAGATGGAAGACCACGCCAAGGACATAAAAGGCGGCGAAACCTCGTATCTACCCCCTGGACGCAAACGATATTAACCGTGTGGCCGGCGGTTGGGCCTAGAGCGGTTCCGCGTGATGGGGCTGGGGGAGGACAAGGGCTGAAGGATGCAGAGGAGTGAGGGTGCTACTGCGGCGGTTCGGGACCTGGCGGTGGCCTGGGGCACAGCGCCTGAGAGAGCAGGTGGAATAGAGTTGGTTCTTGGCGACTTAGGAGAGGAAGGAGCCTGGAAGCTAAGGAGCCCCTCTTGGACCACTGGATGGTATTTGTTTTTGTGAACAGTACTTGACTTTGAATACATATTTTCAGGAAGATGAGAGGGTTTCAATTTTGTCAGTGGTGAAAAAAAATTCAAGTATGTGACCTGAGGTTTGCCAGAGTGCTTGTTGGCCACCTCATAGGAAGCAGTGTTGGTGACTTTGTGACACAACAGCATTGTGTACGGTTTTATTGAAGGTTACATTCTACAAACACTTGGAGCACTTATGTGTCAGGCACTATTCTTGGGGGTTAAAACCCAGCACTTATGCAAGTTTAATTATATTGGGGAAGGAAGTCAATAAAAATATATGTATCAGATACTAATGACAGTGAAGCTGTGTTAAGGTTTAGAGTATGACAGGGTGGGGAATATTTTAAGTAGCGTTTTGGGAAGGTCTCTAAGAAAATACTGAGCAGAGACTGGAATACAGCGAGGGAGGAAATCATGTGAACATCTGGGTAAGAATCCTCTGAGGAAGGAACAGGAATGCTGTCCAGAGAAGTGCCTGGTGAGTTTGAGGTTTAGCAAGACCAGTTATGACTGTAGAGTGCCTGGTGAACAAGGGAGAGAGTGGAGATGAGTTCAAAGGGTAACCAGAAGACTTGAAGACCACTGTAGGATTTAATCTGTGTGTGATGGGAAACCATTGTAGGAGTTTGAGCAAAATAGTGACATAGTTGAGCACACATGGGCAGAATCACTGGTCACCTGTGGAAAGAAGAACCTATGTCGGGGCCAGAGGAAATACAGGGAAACCAGTTAGGAGGCTATTACAGCAGTCTGGGGGAAAGGAACCTAGTCCTTCTAAGATAATTAAGGTTTCTGGATGCCATGCTATGGAATTTGGAGATTATCGTTTTCAGGTACATGAGGGTAATCATATAACATTCATTGAGCACTGTCTACATGTTGGGCACTTTTATAAGCACTTTACATTAGTTATTTAATGTATTCCAAAGCTATGAGGTTTGCACTATTAACAACTGAGAAAACAGAGGCACCAATGTTAAATGCCGTGCCCAAGATCTCATGTCTAGTAGTTGAACCAGGAGTCCTGCACTTGTTGATAGAGGAAAGTTGCAAAGGTTTCCTCATTGTTGCCCAGGATGGCTGAGAACTGACGTACAGGGCCTGAGGCTTCCAAAACTCCTGAAAAGGTAGTGAAACCACCTTTATCTGGCCCTTGTGTCCTCTATGGGTTAATATTTTATCAATTTTTAGTTACTGCATCCATCTTAGGCTTCAATAACTTCATTCTTCCTCTCCCGCTTATCCTGTGCCTTCCTTTTGAGCCTGTATTGTGCTATCTTTTTCATTTTCTCCTAGTTTCTACCCATTTCTTCTCTCTGCATTTCTTCCCATCTATTTCTAGCTATTGAGATGAGGTGAGGAACAAGAAATATAGGTGAAGGGAAAGGAGGGTACTGGGTGTAATAAAGAGAAATTTGAAATCTATTTCTGATACAACTTAATTCCGTGTTTCATTCCTCCTTTGTCTTTGATGTTAAAACTTAGAAGTCACATAGCCCAAAGACATTGAATTGCCCAAGGTCCAAACACTGAATCCACAGGAACTTCCTTCATTGCTACCCACAAACATCTTCTGCACCTATCACTGATTACTACCTCTCTCTGTGGAAAATTTTCTTCTTCCAGGTGAAAGAGATTCCTATAGCCTCTACCTGTGCTCCAAATCTTATTTTCCCTCTTTGTGCTGAATATCCCCTCCTGTCTGCACCTCTTTTAGGTTATAAACATGCTCAATTCTTCTATCTTAAGTCATGGAAACACATTCTCGGCAGATGGTTAGCAAGGTCAACACCTTTCTCAACCACTTTTGCCTACCCACTAAAGAGACTGCAAGAGCAAATGCTTGTTTTCTCAGTCTCCTTTACTACTAATCTCCATGTAACACAGCTGTGGTCAAGGAGATACAAGCAGAAATCTGCTGAGGGGCTTCTGGGAAAACCTTTTCTGATAAAAGGCAGGGATGTTGCTAGTGATACCCACTTTATGTCTTCTTACATTGAATTCAGACATTTTACCTGAAGCTAATGGCAGCCATGTGACCATGATAGAAAAACCATAAAAATCAAGGCACTGAATTATTTTCTTTCTGAACCAATGCTACCCACCTCCAGATTTATTATGTGAGAAAATAAATCCCTATTTGCTTGTAAGCCATTGTTAACTGGGCTTTCTATTGTTGCAGCCAAAAACTCTTCTGATAGACATGCATTCTTTCAACTCCAATCTCCCTCTATTATCTTTCTAAACTCTCCTTTCCCAGTCAGGCTACTAAGTCCTTTTCAACCTTTAACTCACTCTTTAACCTACTAAAATTTAGATAGGTTATCAATAACCAAAATCAAAGGCAATATTTCTATTTTAATCTTACTTTAACACTGTGGCATTTGAAAATAATAACTTCCTATCCCTACACTAAAATTCTTTTACTTCTGTGACATCATGTTTTCCTGATTTTTGTGTTTTTCATGTTTCTTTTGGCTGTTGTTTCTTCCCCTCAGCTTCCGCTGACTCCTTCCTCCATTTACCCCAGTCAATGACAGTACAGTAATCCCCCTTTATCAGGAGATACATTCCAAGACCTCCAGTGGATGCCTGAAACAATGGGTAGTATCAAACCCTATATATACTATGTTTTTCCCAATAAATACATACTTAAAGCTTAATTTTTAAACTAGGCACAGTAAAAGATTAACAGTAACTAATAATAGAACAATTTTAACAAGATACTGTAATAAGTGGTGTGAATGTGGTTCACAAACTATCTCATTGTACTGTACTCACCATTCTTGTGATAGGATGACATGACACAATGGCTACATGATGAGATGACAATGTAGAGGGATGGCATGAGAGTTCATCACACTACATGGAATGATGTGTAATTTAAAATATGAATGGTTTATTTTTGGAATTTTCCATTTAATAATTTTGGACTCAAGGTTTACTGTGGGTAACTAAAACTCTGGAAAGCAAAACCCTTAATGGGAGGGGAGGGCAGGGGATACTGTACTCCCAGAACACCCTCTAATCACTGACATACTGCTTATTCTACAACAGGCCTACCTTGGATAGCCACAGACTCATCATCGCCCCACAAAATTGCTCAACTTTATATATATATATATATATATATATATATATATATATATATATATTTTTTTTTTTTTTTTTTTTTTTTTTTTTTGTGGTACATGCCCCTGGCAGGAACCAAACCCGGGACTCTCTGGTCCACAGGCCAATGCTCAACCGCTGAGCCAAACTGGCCAGGGTGGTCAACTTTATATTTTTAGTTACAGCACCCTATAAATCCAAGTAAGAAATTCAAGTACTCACATTTAATCAGTTACCACATTATCTATATTCTGTCTCATTTTTGTTGAATTCTTCCTCTCCCATCCCACTATCACTTTCTCAGTTTAAACCTTGAAAAATGAGAATATATCCTATTCATTTTGATTTTCTAACCATGTCCAACATATATTTAACATTTATTAAATGTGTGTGAAATAAAATTGTCTTACTACTATCATACTATAGGTCTATAAAAACTCCATACTTGTTTTACATATATTTTGAGTTAAAGATTGTGTTAATATGTGAGATTTTCATGTGTACTGGTATTTATCCTATTTTCCTTTCCACGTTGATAGTCAGTAGGATACACAGATATGTATTTGAATCCTAGGTAAAGACTGTAGGTTATATAATTTTCTAAATAATTAGCTTATTTAATAAAACTTAATGACAGTTAATTGTGGATTAAAACAGCATGCTATAGCATTAAGATTTGTATAATTATTCCATCACTTGTTAGGAACCAGCCTATATTTTAGGGGAGAAAATAATACAGAGAGAAAGGGGACAGATGTGGAGGACTAATAGAATTTGATAGAGGTGGAGAATTTTTACTCACAACATCCAGGGAAAACAGACTGTAAAATAGGAGCATCTAATAACATATATAAAATGGTAAAAGATAAAAGATATGCCAGCATTCATTATATTTATAGGTTTGTTGCTTTATAGAGCTTATAGGGATCCTCAAGACATTCAAAAATCAAAATCCTTCATTTACCAAATAAGGGCACTGTGACCTAGTGTAAGTAGGTGACTTGTCCAAGTTAGTGACAGATCAGAGTACATAGTAGGTCCTTGGGCTGTCCAGTTAAACCTTTTCAATTTTCCAGTGTAAAGTATCTGATGATATTCAAGGGAGAATCTGCTGTATGATACAACAGAACTACCTTCAGCATGAATCCTCATTGTTTAGAATATCTTTTCAGCATAAAAAGATTCATACTGGTGAAAAACCATACAAATGTAATAAATGTGGGGAAGGGTTTACCCAAAGTATGAATCTCACAGTATTTCAAAGAACTCATAGAGGAGACAACTTTTTGATACAAAATTTTACTTTCTGATTCAATCAAGATTTTATACTTTTGTATGGTTTCTCCACAGTGCTCTGTATCATCTGATATGGTATATAATATACTTAAACTAAAAGATCCCAAAAATCTTTCAATTTATTAGGTCTCTACATGACATGACTTATCTGATTATCAATGAGGACTTAATCATGGTAAAGTGCCCAGTGAAAACTCCTCATGTACGAGTTCTCTGATGTTGTGTAACCTTTGTACTACAACTAAGGCTTTCCCACATTCATTACACTGATAGAGTTTCTCGCTTGTATGAGTTCTCTGATGCACTATAAGGGATGAATTCTTTCTTTTTTTTTTCTTTTTAATTTCATTTTTGTTACAGATGTTTCTCCTTTTTTACCCCATTAACACCCTCCTCCCTATTCCCCGTCGCGTCCCCAACTTTGTTGTCCATGTCCATTGGTTATGTGTACATGCATATAAGTTCTGTGGTTGATCTCTTCCCTCCCCCAAACACCCCCTCTTCTGACTGTTGTCAGTCTGTACCCTACTTCCATGTTTCTGGGTCTACCCTATTCCTCAGACTGTTATGTTGATTATATACCACAAATAAGTGAGATCATGTGGTATTGTCTTTTTCTGCTTGGCTTGTTTCACTTAGGATAATACTTTCCAGGTCCCTTCATGTCGTCTCAAAGGATAAGAGATCTTTCTTTCTTACAGTGGCATAGTACTGCATTGTGTGTATGTACCAAAGCTTTTTTATCCATTCGTCTACTGATGAACACTTGGACTGTTTCCAGATTTTAGCTATTATAAATACAGCTGCTATGAACATGGGGGTACATATATTCTTTCTGATTGGTGTCTCAGGCTTCGTGGCATATATTCCTAGAAGTGAGATCTCTGGGTCAAATGGAAGTTCAATTTTTAATTTTTTGAGGTAACACCATATGGTTTTCCATACTGGCTGCACCAGTCTGCATTCCCACCAGCAGTGCGCGAAAGTCCCCTTTTCTCCACACCCTCGCCAACACTTGTTGGACGATTTGTTGGTGGCAGCCATTCTGACAGGTGTGAGGTGATACCTCGTTTTAATTTGCATCTCTCTGATGATTAGTGATGTTGAGCATTTCGTCCTATGTCTTTTGGCCATTTGTATGTCCTGTTTGGAGAGGTGTCTATTCAGCTCCTCTGCCTATTTTTTAATTGAGTTCTTTGTCTTCCTTTTGTTAAGTAGCATGAGTACTCTATATATTTTGTAAATTATCCCCTTATCTGATGTATCATTGGCAATTATGTTCTGCCATACAGTGGGTTGCCATTCCATTTTGATGGTTGTTTCTCTTGCTGTGCAGACGCTTTTTAGTTTGATGTAGTCCCATGTGTTCATTTTTTCCTTTGTTTCTCTTGCCTTAGAAGATGTGTCAGTGAAAATTCTGCTGCATGTGATATCTGAAATTTAGTTGCCTAAAGTTTCTTCTAGAATTTTTATGGATTCATGGGTACATTTAAGTCTTTTATCCATTTTGAGTTTATTCTTGTGTGTGGTGTAAGTTGATGTTCTAGTTTCTTTTATTTATTTTTATTTTTTTTGCATGTAGCTGTCCAATTATCCCAACACCATTTATTAAGAGGCTGTCTTTACTGCATTGTATGCTCTTGCCTCCTTTGTCAAATATTAATTGAGCATAGTGTCTTGGGTCCTTTTCTGGGTTCTCTATTCTGCTCCACTGGACTATATGCCTGTTCTTGTGCCGGTACCAGGCTGTTTTGATTACAGTGGATTTGTAGTATAACCTGATATCTGGTATTGTGATCCCACCTACTTTGTTCTTCTTTTTCAAGAATGCGGTGGCTATTCCAGTCTTTTTTTTTTTTTTTTTTGGTTCCATATGAACTTTTGAAATATTTGTTCTAGTTCTGTGAAGTATGTCTTTGGTATTTTGATAGGTATTGCATCAAATCTATAGATTATTTTGGGTAATATGGACATTTTAATGATATTAGTTCTTCCAATCCATGAACAAGGTATGTGCCTCCCTTTTTTTATATCTTCCTTTATTTCTTTTTTTCAATGTCCTGTCGTTTTCAACAAATAGGACATTTACTTCTTTGGTTAAGTTTATTCCTAGGTATCTTAATTTTTTTTGCTGCGATGGTAAATGGGATTGTTTTTTCAGTTTCTGTGAGTTCATCCTTGATGTATAAGAATGTCGTCGATTTCTTGACATTAATTTTGTACCCTGCTACTTTGCCAAATTCAATTATTTATTTATTTATTTTATCCTCACCCGAGGACATTTTTCCTTTTTTGTTCAGATAGAGTGGGAGGGAGGGAGAGGAAGAGAGAAACATTGACGTGAAAGGGACACGAGTGGCTGCCACCCGCACAACCCAACCAGGGCCGGGGACAAATGGCAACTGAGGCACACACCCTTAGCCGGAACCGAACCCGGGTCTCTCCGGACCGCAGACCAACACTCTAACCACTGAGCCAAACTGGCCAGGGCAACCAAATTCATTTATTAAGTCTAGTAGATTTTTGATGGAGTCTTTAAGGTTTTCTATGTATAATATCATGTCATCTGCAAATAATGACAGTTTCACTTTCTTCTTTCCAATTTAGATCCCTTTTATTTTTTCTTCATGTCTCATTGCCGTGGCTAAGGCTTCCAGTAATATGTGAAATAAGAGTGGCAAAAGTGAGCATCCCTGTCTTGTTCCTGTTCTTAAGAGTAATGCTTTTAGCCCTGGCCGGTTTGGCTCAGCGGTTAGAGTGTCGGCCTGCGGTCCCGAGAGACCCAGGTTCGATTCCCGCTAAGGGCGCGTACCTCGGTTGCAGTTTGTCCCCGGCCCTGGTTGGTTGTGTGGGTGGCAGCCACTCGATGTGTCCCTTTCACATCGATGCTTCCCTCTCTCTCTCTTCTTCTCTCTCCCTCCCACTGTATCTGAACAAAAAATGGAAAAATGTCCTCGGGTGAGGATAAAAAAAAAAAAAAAAAAGAGTAATGCTTTTAGTTTCTGCCCAATGAGTATGATGTTGCCTGTTGGTCTTTCAGATATGGCCTTTATTATGTCGAGATATGATCCCTCTAATCCCACATTGCTGAGTGTTTTTATCAGAAATGGATGCTGGATTTGTCCAATGCATTTTCAGCATCTATTGATATGATCATGGGGTTTTTATTCTTCATCTTGTTTATGTGGTATATCACATGTATTGATTTGAGAATATTGTACCAGCCTTGCATCCCCGGGATGAATCAGGTTGGTCATGGTGAATAATTGTTCTGATGTATTGCTGGTTCTGATTTGCTAGTATCTTGTTCAGGATTTTGGTGTCTGTGTTCATCAGGAATATTGGCCTGTAGTTTTCTTTCTTTGTAGTGTCTTTTTCTGGTTTTGAAATTAGAATTTATGCTGGCCTCATAAATCAAGTTTTGAAGTCTTCTTTCTTCTTGAATTTTTTGAAATAGTTTGAGAAGAATGGCTGTTAGTTCTTTTTTGAATGTTTGGTAAAGCTCCCCCGTGAAGCCGTCTGGGCCTGTACTTTTGTTTGCTGGGAGAGTCTTGATTACCTCTTCAGTGTCATTAGTTGTTATTGGTCTGTTCAAGTTTTCCAACACTTCCCAGTCCAGTTTTGGGACACCATGTGTTTCTAGAAATTTGTCCATTTCGCTTCGCTTAGATTGTTGAATTTGTTGCCATATAATTGTTCACAGTAGTTTTTAAGGATCTTTTGTATTTCTGTGGTGTCAGTTGTTGCATCTCCTCTTTCATTTCTGATTTTGTGTATTTGGGTTCTCTCTCTGTTTCTTGGTGAGTCTAGCTAAGGGTCCATCAATCTTTTTTATCTTTTCAAAGAACCGGCTCTTTATTTCATTGATCTTTTGAATTGTTTTTTTGTTTTTTTGTTTTTTTTTTGGTCTCCATATCATTTATTTCTGCTCTGATCTTTACTATTTCCTTCCTTCTACTTGCTCTGGGGTTTTCTTTTTTATTGCTTTCTAGTTATTTAAGTTGAAAGGTTAGATAGTCTAATAGAGATTTTTCTTGTTTCTTGAGGTAGGTCTGTACTGCTATGAGCTTCCCTCTCAAAACTGCTATTGCCTCATCCTATAGATTTTGAGTTGTTGTGTATTCATTTTCATTGGTTTCCAAGAAGCTTTTAATTTCTTCCTTGACCTCCTCAGTAACCCAATCATGGTTCAATAACATGCTATTTAGCCTCCATGTGTTCAAATGTCTTTGCATGTTCTTGTTGCAATTGATTTCTAGTTGCATGCTATTGTGATCTGAGAAGAAGCTTCATATGATTTCAATCCACTTGAACTTGTGTCCTATCATGTGGTGTATCCTTGAGAATGTCCCATATGCACTTGAGAAGAATGTGAATTCTAAAGTTTTGGGGTGTAATTCTCTGTAGATATCTATTAAATCCATTTGGTCTAGTGCTTCATTTAGAGTCTCTGTTTCCTTGCTAATTTTTTGTCTACAGGATCTATCCAGTGATGTCAGCGTGGTGTGGAAGTCCCTTGCTATGATTGTATTGCTATTGATTTCTTCTTTGAAGTTCTCCAGAGGATTTTTAATATATATTGGTGCTCCTACATTGGGGGCATATATGTTTATCAAGGTTATATCTTCCTGTTAGATTGGTCCTTTCAATATTATGTAGTGGCCTTCTTAGTCTCTAGTTGTGATCTTCATTTTGAAATCTATTTTATCAGATATGAGTATTACTACAACAGCTTTTTTTCTTTTCTATTTGCTTAAAAGATTTTTTTCCACCCCTTCATTTTCAACCTATGTGAGTCTTTTGTTGTGAGGTGAGTTTCTTGTAAACAACATATAGATGCATCATGCTTCCTTATCCAATCAGCTACTCTGTGTCTTTTTATCGGAGCATTCAGTCCATTTACATTTAAGGTGGTTATTAATATGTGCTTATTTATTACCATTTTTGTTTAGTTTGGTTATATTTTTCTTCCTATTTCTCCTGCTAATTACAGCAGTCCTTTTAACATTTCTTGCAGCGCTGGTTTGGTGCTAATGTATTCCCTTAGCCTTTTTTTGTCGGGAAAGCTCTTTATTTGACCTTATATTTTGAAACACAGCCTTGCTGGATAGAGTAGTCTTGTATTGAGATCCTTGTTTTTCATGACCTTGATTAGTTCGTGCCACTCCCTTCTGGCCTGTAGTGCTTCTATTGAGAAGTTAGCTGATAGCCTAATGGGGGTTCCTTTGTAGATAACCTGTGGCTTATCTCTTGTGCTTTTAAGATTCTCTGTCTTTAATTTTTGGCATTTTGATTACTATGTGTCTTGCTGTGGGCCTGTTTGAGTTCTTCTTACTTGCAACTCTCTGTGCTTCTTGAACTTGAATGCCTTCTTCCTTCACCAAATTAGGGAAGTTTACTGTTATTATTTCCTCTAATAAATTCTCTATCCCTTGCTCATTTTCTTCTTCTTCGGGGACTCCTATGATGTGAATATTATTATGCTTCCAGTTGTCCCACAGTTCTCTTAAGCTGTCTTCCTGTTTTTTTATCATTTTTTCCTTTTGGTTTTCTGATTGATTTTTTCTACCCTGTCTTCTAATTGACTGATCCGGTCCTCCACTTCCTCTACTCTGCTGTTTAGACCTTCCAATGTGTTCTTTATTTCTGATATGTCATTCCTGATTTCTTCTTGGTGGTTTTTAATTCCCAATCGGTTGATTTTCAACATCTCTATGTCCTTACTCATGCTGTTGAGCTTCCTCAAGATCGTGGCTCTGAATTCTAGCCTTGTTAACTTGCTTAACTGCTCCACATTAATCTCATCTTCGATAGAGGTCTCTTGTTCTTTCATTTGGCTTTTGTTTCTGTGTTTCACCATTTTGGCTATCACAGTGGGCTTTGGAGGCTACCAAATTTTCCCTGTGGGTGTTCATGTTCTGCTGTTTGTGGCTCCCTCTCCTGGGTTTGGATGAGCAAGGTAGGACTCACGTTAAACACCACTGTCAAGTCCTACTTTCCTGATTAGAGTTGCTAGCCCAGGAATGGTACAGTTATCCTCTAGCTTTTTGCCTGGAGGCTATCAGTGGTGGTTTCTTGAAGAGCCTTGGGTTCTCAGATGAATGAAAAACTCCCTCAGGTGCTCAGCATAAGGGGATTTCTCGAGGGTGGGGCAGATGCTAGTTGTTAGTGAGCCTCAATTTGCATTTCAATGGCCCATCTGGGTTGGGTTGAATCTCCCAGAGGGAGAGGCCGCTACCTCTCTCCAGAGCCCTGGGAAGGAGTAAGATGGCCACCATTCTGTGTGGCTGCAACTCAGCAAAAGCTCTGAGCCCCCTCCAAATCCCAAGTGTGCCCACACAGTTCCATCCAGTCCACCCTCCCTCTACTGGAGCCCAAGGTGAGTGGCTGTGGCTATTTTAGCGTCTGTACTGGCTCTGCGCTATGGAGCAGCTTGGGAGTTTAACCCGAGGGCGCTGCTCACAGCTAAGGCCACTACTGTCTGTGGGCTCCCAGCCCCCCTCTCGTGCCTCTGCAATCCTAGCAGGATTGAGGCAGGGGTCTCTGGTTATATGAACCTCACAAGCTGCTTTTCTGTTGTTTTTCCTGTTGATTTGCCTTTATTTTATTTGTAATTCCAGTTTGTTCCTGGGAGACGGTCTGTGTAGCTTCCATTCACTCCTCTGCCATTTTGGAATCCAAGGGATGTATTTTTAATGAAAGCTTAGCCACACTGATCACATTCATAGGGTTTCTCACCAGTATGAATTATTTGATGCTCAATAAGGTCGACCTGTCCACATTCATTGCATTCATAAGGTTTCTCTCCAGTATGAATAACCCCATGTACAATAAGAGATGATCGCCCAGTGAAATGTTTTCCACATACATTACACTCATAAGGCTTCTCTCAGTATGACTCCTCTAATGTTGAGTATGAGATGAATTCTCACTGAATGCTTTTCTACACTGATTACATTCAAAGGGTTTTATTCTAGAATGAAGTCTCTGATGTTCTATAAGGTATGTACTTTGGCTAAAGGATTTCCCACATGTTACATTTGTAGGTTTTTTTTCCAGTATGATTTTGTTGATGCAGAGTAAGAGTTGAACTCTTACTAAAGGCTTTCCCACATTCACTGCACTCATAGGGTTTCTCTCCAGTACTACTACTCTGATGTACAATAAGATGCATACTTTGAGTGAAAGACTTCCCACATTCGTTACATTCATAGGGTTTTTCTTCTGTATGAGTTCTCTGATGCACTGTGAGATTCATACTTTGGGTAAAAGCTTTCCCACATTACATTTGTAGGGTTGCTCTCCAGTATGAATCTTTTTGTGCTGATAAGGGATGAATTCTTGTGGAAAGTTTCTGCACACTTTTTACACTGATAAGGTTTTTCCCCAGTATGAGTTCTTTGATGAACAGTAAGGTTCATGCTTTGACTGAAGGTTTTGCCACATTCATTACATTTGTAGGGTTTCTCTCCAGTATGACTTCTTTGATGTCCAGTAAGGGATGTGCATTCAATGAAGTACTTCCCAAATACATTACACTTATAGTGTTTCTCCCCAGTATGAATCCTCTGGTGCTTAAGAAGGTATGAGTTCTGGCTAAAGGCTTTCCCACATTCATTACATTCATAAATTTTCTTTCCTACATTCTTTGAATCTTAATTCAGAATTTTATTTGATATCTTTTGGGAATTCTGATAACAGGGCCTTTTCCCTATAGGAGTACTTTGTTGTATATCAATGACTGAACACTGACAGGAATATCTTTCAAATTCGTTACCTCCTCATACTCCCCTCTGAGGGTTTACTTATGGGTAACTGTCACCTGACCCACATGTCTATCCTGGTTTTTCTGTTGCCCTTCTAACCAATTATCAGTTTCCTAGGTTTTCCCTAAAGAATGCCAGAGGTCTTCCTTTTCCATTATTACCCAATAGGATAAATCTTCTGTAATGGGCTTTGGAGTTGACTCCTCTGGTTTCAAGTCTTGCTTCCCAGTCTGTAAAAAATAAAAATTCAAATGCAAATTGGTTTCTGTGCTGGGAGACTGAAAACTGTATAAGGTGGAAATTAGAATATATGGCACATTTGAGAGCTTCTAACGATGTTCCTACAATTAGGAAGAGAATTGGAAGGAAAGGAAAAAAACAGCAAACTGGTCCATAAATAAAAGAACTAAAAACGGTAAGCAGGGAAAAGACTGAGCCTATGCAGAAGGGATAGACACTGAAGTCACTGACCACTGGACAAGGCTACATAATGAAGTTGAACTAAAGGAAAACATATAAAAGACCTAGGATTGGAAGAGGCAGATCAGAAAGTCCTGCTATGTTGTACCAACTATTCCTACCAGCCATTTCTTCCTCCCTATAATTTGGGGGGGGGGGCTGGTTATGAATATAGTCTTTTATTTATTTTGTATTAATTTGTTTTTGTTATAGGTTTCTCATTTTCCCCCATTGACACCCTCTTCCCCTCCCCCCATCCCATCCCCAGCTTTGTTGTCTATGTTCATTGGTCATGCATACATGCATGTAAGTTCTGTGGTTTATCTCTTGCCCCCTAACTCCCCTCCTCTGAGGCTTGTCAGTCTGTACCCTACCTCTATGTCTCTGGGTTAATTTTGTTCAGCAGTTTGTTTAGTTCATTATATTCCACAAATAAGTGAGATCATGTGATATTTGTCTTTCTCTGCTTGGCTTGTTTCGCTTAGCATAATACTCTCCAGGTCCTTCCATGCCGTCTCAGAGAATAAGAGATCTTTCTTTCTTATAGCTGCATAGTATTCCATTGTGCACATGTACCACATCTTTTTAATCCACTCATCTACTGATGGACGCTGGGTTGTTTCCAGATCTTAGCTATTGTAAATAGTGCTGCTATGAACATAGGGATACACATATTCTTTCTGATTGGTGTTTCAGGTTTCTTAGGGTGTATTCCTATAAATGGTATCACTGGGTCAAATGGCAGCTCAATTTTTAACTTTTTGAGGTAACACCATAGTGTTTTCCACAGTGGTTGCACCAGTCTGCATTCCTACCAGCAGCGTACTAGAGTCCTTTTTTCTCCACACCCTTGCCAACACTTGTTGTTTGATGATTTGTTGATGGCGACCATTCTGACAGGTGTGAGGTGATACTTCATCGTTGTTTTAATTTGCATCTCTGATGATTAGTGATGTTGTGCCTATAATTTTGATACTAAATCTTCAAAAACATCACAGTGTGACACAGTGAAGATTATTGACGCTGGAGTCAGACAAATGGGTTTGAACCCTGGCCCTTAACATTTACCATCTTAACCGATTACTTGTTTCTCTAGGTCTGTGTTTTCACAGATATAAAATGAGAATAAAAATAATCTAATAAGAATAATGTATATAACCTCCCCCACTCCAGAAAAATTTCAACCAGGCTGTAATTTTCTCACAAAGGTTAAGAGAGTCCTCAAGGACCCTATGCTTTCACAAATACTCATTCCTTAAAGATGAGAACTGGTACTGGCGACAGGCAAGAGAGAATCTGTTGAACTGCTTCAGAGGGGGCCAAAAGGACCTTGAAGCCACTCAGACTTTATGTTCCCAGATCCCACTGCTTATTCCACACAAAATGGCCTGGTGGTAATGAGAAGTAGAGGATAGAAAACTATAATCTGAGAATCTGCTTGCCAGCTTGATCAAAGTCAACAGAGCAGTGGTCAACACTGAAGCAACAAAATAAGACCTATTGGGAGGAGGCTTTACTGTGAAGCAAGGGTTATGCATTAACTGGACCTCCTCCTTACAATCTGACCTGCTTACATAAAAGATAAAAAGTGGAAACTCCAGCAGATTCCACCTTCAAAACACTCACACCACTGAGTAATCACAGAGAGGACTTATCCAATCAAGTATGAAAATAATAGGCAACACATGAATTAGAGGTGGCCACTTGCCCACCTCACTATCATATCCAGCTATCCAACTCACATTCTTTGACAGCATTTAAAGTGCCTCCCAGGCACAACATAAAGGGCAAACAAGGATCCGTTCATCCTATTAGAAAAATACAAAGTCCAGACAAAACTGCCTTCATTCAAAGATAAATGATACACAGAAAATACCAAGTTTAGAAACTATGTAGAGGATTAAAAAGTAATTTTTTAAAAAAATATAAATAAGAAAAAAAGCATAAAAAAGCAAAAGGGAGAATAAACAGAAGAATATATGCTTCCAGTCATCCAAAGACATTATAGTTTTTTTGTGTTTTTTGTTTTGTTTTGTTTTTTAACAATGACCCACAAAGAACTAGAACCTAGACTTGGAAAACAATATCTTTGGAACATAAACCCACGAGAAAAATTGGCAAAAATTCGAATAGGCACATAAGAAAAGGAAATCTGAATGAATGGTTTAGCAAGTCCACTATCAGGTACACACACCTAAGTAAATCTAATTTGCAAAGGTATACCATGATTTATAATTTTAAAAGCACAGCACAGAGCAAATATATATATATATATATATATATATATATATATATATATATATATCCAGCAATAGAATAGTCAAATATTTATATAATAGAATAACTGACAACAGTGAATGTTTGTGTCTCCCCAAAATACATATGTTGAATACAAATTCCCAATGATACTATATTAGAAGGTGGGGCTTTGGGAGGTCATCAGGTCAAGAGTGCAGAGGGGTGATGGGATTAGTGCCCTTATGTAAAGAGATGAGAGCTTGTTTCCTGTCTCTTCGCTCTCTAGCATATGAGGATACAGCAAGAAGACAGCTGTCTATGAACCAGGATAAGGGCCCTCACCAAGAATTCAACCACGCTGGCACCCTGACATATAACCTCTGGAACAGTGAGACATAAATGTTTGATTTTTAAGCCACCTGGTTTATGGTAATCTGTTACAGCAGCCTGAATTAAAACTGGTTAAACTTAATAAACTAAAGCTACACATGTCAATATGAAAAAATAATTTAAACAAAGTTACAGAAAAGTATATAGCAAGAGTCCACATAAAGTTTAAAAACAGATTAAAACTAAATATACTGTTTATAGGTTCATTTATGGATGGCAATACTTAAAGAAAGGGGAAGAGAATTATCACAAAAGTGAGAATAGTGGTTATGTCCTAGGGAGAGGTAAGAGTGTGTGAATTAGAAGGAGTACACAAAGTATAGGAAGGATACCAGGAACGTTCTGTTTCTTACTCTGGGTTCTAGTGCCTCTGTGTTTGCTTTCTTTATTGTTCATTAATCTTTATCATTATTAACTATAATAAGATGCAGTATGGCAATAGTTAAGACAACAACTCTGGGGCATTACTACCTGGCTCAAATTTGAGTTCCACTACTGTTAGCTGTGTGACCTTGGGCAGGTTACTTAATATATGGGCACGCCAGTTTTCTCACCTGTTAAATGGTACCTATCTCACAGTACTGACATAAGAACAAAAATTAGTTAATATTTATAATATTAGAATAGTAGTAAGCTTTTGTTAAATAATATATATTTTACACATTCTCTAGTATATATAACATTTCAAAATATGAAAAACAAAATATTTTCTATTTTGGAAAATATTAATCAAAGCTTAAACATCATTATGTACTGCAGAAAACTTAATTGTAAGACTTGTTTTATCTCGAAGAAATTTGGAGACCTAATTTACAAGTTTATTCTGGCCCGAGCTGGTGTGGCTGTGGGTTGTGCATCATCCTGTGCACCAAAGGATGGCTGGTTCGATTCCTGATCAGGAACCATGCCCGGGTTGTAGTCTGGATCCCCTCTAGGGAGCATGCAGGAGACAGCCAATCAATGTTTCTCTCACATCAGTGTTTCTCTGTCTCCTTCACCCTTATTCTCTAAAAATCGATTTTTAAAATATTTAAATAAATAAAAGTTTATTCTGAAGACTTGCTCCTTAAAAAAACAAATGAATTACCTACAAAATTTTTAAAAAGCTAGCTGATGTCATTCAAGGATTCAACTTGGCCAGTACTCTATACATGCACAGAGAAAAGCAAAACAGATTCTTAAATATGAAAGCTTCAATAATTACAGTCCTCCAAAAGCATATCTGAAATATTACTTAAATATTCAATTTACACAAAGGATTTATCCAGGAATGCCAGAACGTCACTATTAGAAATCTACTTCTTTTTAATAATTTATTCATTTTTGTGACAGATGTTTCTCCTTTTTGTCCTAATGATTCGCCCCTCCCTTTCTCCACGCCGTCCCCAGCTTTGTGGTACAAGTCCATTGTTCATACATACATGCATATAAGTTCTGTGGTTTATCTCTCCTCCACCAACCCATGTTCTGGGGATTGTCAGTCTGTACCCCACTTCCATGTCTCTGGGACTACCTCATTGCTCCGACTGTTATGTTCATTATATTCCACAAATAAGTGAGATCATATAATACTTGTCTTTCGCTGTTTGGCTTGTTTCACTTAGCACACTTTCCAGGTCCCTCCATGTTGTCTCAAAGGATAAAAGATCTTTCTTTCTTACAAATGCATAGTACTCCATTGTGTATATGTACCACAGCTTTCTTATCCATTCATCTACTGATGGAAATTTGGGTTGTTTCCCGATAATAGCTATTGTAAATAATGATGCTACAAACATGGGGGTACATATATTCTTTCTGATTGGTCATTCAGGCTTCTTAGGGTATATTCCTAGAAGTGGGATCACTGGGTCAAATGGAAGTTCAATTTTTAATTTTTTGAGGTAACACCATACTGTTTTCCATAGTGGCTGCACCAGTTTCCCACCAGCAGTGTACTAGAGTCCCCTTTTCTCCAACACTTGGTGTTTGATGATTTGTTGATGGTGGCCAATCTGACAGGTGTGAGGTGAAACCTCATTGTTGTTTTAATTTGCATCTCTCTGATGATTAATGATGTTGAGCATTT